GCAAGGGAGGGGGTTTCGCGAGGTTCAATATTTTCGTATTTGCCCCAACGTGTATTGGCCGATGCAGCAAGTCGTTTAGAATTACAATCTGTACAATTGCAGTTATAGTGTAAATCTGCAAGAATACCAGAATCATCATCATCAATACCGAGGACTGGAGCTGGATGTTTCTGTGTTTCTTGCCAATCGGCATATGTGTAGAAAGCACTTTGATCAACCACAACACGACCTTCGTGGAAACGTTTTGGCTTTTGCTCAACGGGCATACTGAAACCTCTGTAATCCATTTGTTTACCCATCAACATACTGTAGAATTTCTCTCCACGATCTTCGAGTTGTTTTCGTGGAGATAGGGCAGGATTGGCATCGACGTAATGAGCAGGAATAACCTTTAACGATGTGACTTCGCGCTCGCCTTCAAATGGTGCGATGGTGACCTCATGAGGTCGACGTCCAACAAATCGGCCATCGAAATCTAGATACCACATCTTAACTTTAAGAGGTGATGGCTGTCCTGGTCTAGTATTCTCTGTGGAGTTTTCACATCCTTGAAGAACGAAACCAGCACGTTGCTCGTCGAATTGAGCGTACACATCCATTCCTGGCTTAAACAACATCCATAACATCTCAAACGTTACTACTGGATTAGCTCTAGCATGTCGGTCATCCTCCAACCTTAACTTCTCTTCAAAGTTATCCTCAAGATACTTTTGAAGAACGCTGATATGATGACTGGCTTCCGCATCATCACAATTCTCTTTGTATTCTTGAAGTTCCTTTCGGTAATGAACAAGAATCCCATAAGGTTCCTTGATTGAAATGGTGTCTCCGAGTAAAGATTGTCCGGGATAGTATTCGACAATGGATCTCAAGGCTTTCATGATGTGTGGAGAATGAATAATGAGTTCTTTCTCCTCCATAGATCGCTCATCGAAGTCATTTTCGTCTTTCATCCCTGATGATATCACATTATCATCATCTTTGTCCTTCTTGTTCTTTTTCTTGCCATAAATGGTAGGGAACCAAATAGTAACACTGTATAAGACTTCTAGAATAGGTATTTCCGAATCACGATATCTTGAAAACGTTAGTGTCTGATTGGATAACGAGCAATACGATCAACATACGTCGTCTTCTTCAACTTATATGGTGCTGCCAACTCCTTTGTTCCTTTGATTTCACCACCTACATCCTTATACTGGACTTTGTAAAGGATCTCTGGGCATTTGATATCTTCATCCTTGCCAGCATCGCTTGATGCTTGAGTAGAAGTGGTAGCATCCTTCTCGACCTTGACGACTACATATTTCTCGCCATCTTTACTTGGTGTCTCGTTGGAATGCATGATTGAGGATATTGTGAGGAGTGAGAGCTATGTGATTAGGTATTATGAAGAAAGAAGAAAAGCGAAGAGGATGAGGAAGGATGAGAAAGAATGTGAGGATTGGGATGAATCGATCACTGAGAAGTATATAAATATTAAAAGCTGGACGCTTCAAGCAGACGAGGAGACAGCAAATTGGTGAAATTTTGATGAAATTTGTGGAGTACAACTGGTGTTTACATAGGCAGCACTCGCCGCAGCAGTCAGCCCGCAGATGAGCAACACACCAGCCTTCTCCCATTCGTTGGAGATAGCAATATATTGCCTATCCAGTATCTTGTCCTTCCCGCATTGGATACGTTGACTCACCGTGTTGTCTAGGCAAAGGATGAACGTTTTGATTATCGGCACATACGTGAATGTGGCGGCTCTTTATATGCAAATAGTAGCCCTAGGTCTGGTTCAAGTTGGTCTGGCGAGGCAGATTAGTGGATGAGTGACTAGGATCTCCGTCATATCGCTCAGCCGTAGATTTACGTGGGGTATCACCAATGGTCCCAAATTCTTCAATAATATCCGCTGATGATCAGTGGTAGGTAGAATTACGAGCAAGTACTGCAGTTACGAGGGTAGCATCATATCATTGATAGATATAGAGGTAAGATAGGTTGAGAAACGTATTGCCATTCAGTTCTTAGAGACAACAACAGTATTGAGACATTAAAGGTTGAATGTTATCTGAAATTCATAAAAGTTGAATATTGATTGTCCGACTTGATATAAGAACAACTGCATACTCTCGTTTTGCGAAAAGAGTCAACAACCATGAAATGCCTCCTCACCTTGATCTTTTCAAAAACCCTAATTACCATTGCAATATGAGATTCTTCACGGAAATTGTTTAACTGGGCCTCGATTTGCAGGGAGCTTCCGTACAACATGAAGATTCCACAACATGAATCTTACTATGTTCCCACTGGTTCCTGTTCTTGTTCCACTTTCACGATGATACTGGTGGTCCGGGCCGTCTAGAGTATGAGTAATACCTCGATTTCACGTAAAAGACAAGGCAACCAAACAGATCATGGCCGTGCAGCATCAGATGGTTGTGATTGTGTCAAATCATATGTTCGCGGTTGAAAAACTCATAGTTGCCATGTTGGAAGAATTCGCATAGATTTTTCAGGTAAAGTTCTTGAGAATTTCTGCATCATCGTCCAAAATACATGGTTACCTACCGAGGCCCATTTGAATCATTTTGCTAATACCTGAAAAGTTAGGTTTTGCATAATTCAAAAAGAATTTCTAAATTTTATATAATATATATATAGAAATCTTAAAAAGAAAATTGTATTATATAGAACTATATAATAAATAATAGTTTTATAAAAAAAAATATTATTAGATAGCTTTTATTATTAATATTATTAATATGATTTTAGAATTTATTTCAGAATTTTCTATAAGAAGTATATTAATATTCAAATTTTAATATATAATCTTTTTTAAATAGTTTTCTTTTTATATATAGACTAATTATTAATAAGAATTCCTTATCTCGTTTATTTCAAATTAAAAATTAGTTTTTATAATATTGAAAAAAAAATTATTCAATTTAGTATACAACTTGAAAAGAATAAATGAAATAAAAAAGAAAAAAAGAAAAAAAGAAAATTATTAATTCAAATTCAACGAATCGATTAATATAATTACATTTAAATTATATCAAAAATTAAAATTCTAATTCAATTTAATAAAATTCTAATTAGTTTAATTATAATAATTAAGCTATTTTTATTTATGTTTTAAATATTAGGATATATGATTAATCAAGTTTCCCTTAATTAGTATCTAGAAATTATAGAATTCTTTTATTCGGTACAAAACCTTGAAAGATTGATAAAAAGAAAAGAAAAGAGATATTAATATGAATTAGAATTTAAAGAATCAATTGATATAAAAATATTTGAATAAGAAAATATTAAATATTGAAACTATATTATTATTCAAGTTTATTCAAATAATTTTATATTAAATATAAATTTCAATTTTTGAGATAATTCGAATTTTTTTATATCAATCGATTTCTTGAATTCTAATTCATACTAATATCCCTTTTCTTTTTATTTCATATATTTTCTTAAGATTATATATTGAATTGAATATTCTTATTAATATAAACACACTATTAAATTCTAAATACGCTTTTAGCCCATGCAAAACCTAACTTTTCAGGTATTGGCAAAATGATTCAAATGGGCCTCGGTACTACCGGTCTGGGCGAGTACTTAGCTGAATCTCAAGTCGATATTATGGCTATATACAGTACGCAATATATCAGAGCCCATTCGGATATTCCAGATATGGAAGACCATGAACCTATCGATAGATTCACATCTTATGGTGCAAGTTTTCGCGTGGTAAAGGAGATTGATTATCTCAAATGATTGGGCTAGTGGTTAAGTTTAGCAATGACCTTAATTTGTGGCTGGAAATTGGCTATTCGTGTCCGTTTTTCGGGTGTATAACAATTAACAATGAATGCCTTGGTGTAGAGACATTGAAGGATATCGATATTGCTACGGAAAGGCAAGTATCTGAGAAAGACTCGGTGTTGCATCGACAAGCCTGTCACAATATATACCACCTTGAGTTCTGTAAGGCAGGTTATGCTTAACAACATGATGTAAATGTATAACATCGACGGCTATGAAGACCACATAGTCAAATATCGTTTTGACAAGTTTGAGAGAAGTCGTGTTGTGGCAGTGCTAATATGGCTAGAGATGATCGGACCTAGATAAATATTAATCCGATAGAATCTCGACAAAGTCGGTCACAATTTCCTCCTTCATCATCGTTTCTCACTCACTATTTTATACCGCCAAAAAGGCCATTTCGAGCAATCACTATTCTCGTAACGCAACTCAAGGGGCAACCAACAATCCCGAAACCCAAGGATCGAAATTGAATCCTTTCGTGAATGCCTTCCTTCCCGTCTTGCAGATCATGCAGGCAAATAGGCTACTCATTTCTCTCGTTGCATTTACGAGCACTCCCGGTAGGCATAATACCAATCCAGATATATATCTAATCAAGAATTCCACTTTTTGCAATATACACATCAGATCTATGCGAAATCAAAGCCTTCTTATCGCGGTCTCATTCGTGGTCACTTTTTGGCCCTTGGCCTTGATATCACTGATCCATCGACGAGAGGAACCTCCACCAAATGTACTGAATCTATTTTCTCCTCCAAACTATTGATTTGCAAATGTAACCGTTATACATTACTGTAATCATAGCCTCAAAGTAGTTCTTTCTTGGTTTGGTAATCAAGCCATATAAACCTCACGATTTATCATTGGTAAGGTGGTAATAAGCCTTACGGTCCGTTCCTCTGAAGAATTCTGCACGAATTATTTAGCCTGTCATTTATAATGCTTCTTCAACTTGATTCCAGAGATATATGACGTGCATACACTGCTGCGCCTACAACATTTCCGATTTAGGTGGGATATCCCACTCTGTTTACTCTATTATTGGCTATAATGCCTATAAGTGTGCGCCAAACCGCAGTGAAGCGCTTAGCCGATCTTCATGGAGGGGTTATCTCAAGTTGGTGGTTGATATCTAGAAAGACTCAGCCAATTCTGAGTTTTCTCTGTTGCATCCTTTGACTGAGTCAATGTTTCCCTTATCCATGCTTTACTTGTATGGAGTTTCCAAATTTTAATCTTCTTTTACCGTCTTGATTCTCGGTTTGAGCATTTTCATAGAGTGATATCATGGTCTATACTGAGTCCAAATTTTCACATCTTTCATACTCTACCGTTGGTCATGGTAGGACGGATTCCCCAACATTCATCGATGATGCTTTCACTCCTGTATCCGGAATTGGAGTTGCCATTCCCTATCCCGTTCTACAACGAACATTCCTATTAGACCCCACGCCACCACCAAGTCCACTGTATCAAAAATTCAAATATCCCTCATCTGCCTCTTCAACGACAATACAGGGACAACAAGACCTTATAACGTTTGATAAACTTCCAGAATGGAGTCAGGATAATCCCCATATCCACTCCGGGTATCGACAAATATCTCATTCTACCTCCACCTGTTTACATTCCTGTTTCCAAATCCATAATGAAACTTTCAATATATGGTCTCATTTCATTCCTTGTATCTTATTCATTATCCTCGAAGGAATCATTATGTATTATCTCAATACACGCTATCCTAGTGCTACGATCAAAGATCATATCATCTTCTCATTTTTCATTCTCTGCGCAACGATATGTTTAGGCATCTCGGCAATTTTCCATTCCCTTATTTCACATTCTCAAAAAGGCCGCGATCTGTGGTTAAAACTCGATTATGTGGGGATTGTCTTTCTCATCATTGGATGCTTTCTTTCAGCTGTATATATGTCTTTCTTCTGTCAACAAACTTTACAATATGCTTATTGTGGAACGGTAAGTTGTCTCCTTTTTCTTTTCTCTTCCGTTTGCTCATAAATGAGTAGATTTTAGCAATGTCAAGCACGGCATTAGTTTTTCTCCTCCTACCCGCGTTTCAAGGTCATCGATGACGTTCTCTTCGTGTAGTAGCTTTCTGTGCAACAGCAGTTTCGGTTCTCATTCCTTTCATCCATGCACTGGCTCAGTCTGGATGGGACCAGGCGATGGGGCAATCGGGTATGCCGTATTATTTCGCAGAAGCATTATTGCTTTTGGTCGGTGTTTTTTGTTTTGCTGTATGTTTTCACCTTCCCCTTCTTGGAGGTGCAAGTTGGAAGACTAATTTAAAAAATAGAAACGATGGCCAGAATCGTGGATTCCAGGTAGCTTTGATCTATTGGGTAACTCGCATCAGATATTTCATCTGCTGGTTGTGTTGGCCATGGTGTTGCATTTGGTGGGACTTTTACAGGTGTTTGATTATAATTATGCGAAAGGGGAATGCAGAGGAATTATTTCATAGGATGGGTTTGATATATATGAAGTTATGAAATGGTGGGGAAGGAGAGGGGTTGTATCATAAGGTTGTACGATATGTATGGAGCTGTGAAATGGTTGGGAAATGGGAAAGGGATGTATAAATTGGAGCGACGGGTTTGGACTGTGGGTTTCACATCAGGAATTTATGATGGTGATGTTGAGACGAATTTATGATGAATGGGATGAATAGGATGAATAGGATGAATAGGACGAATTGGGATATAGATTTGGGTATGGATTGATATACATTGGATTGGATTGGATTGGAAAAGACCAACTAAGGATCATCTACCCTCGAGGGATATTCTGTGTGATTAACGAGGGTCGAAGATGAAAGGAGTCAAGAATGAGGCTGAGAATGAGGAAGTTATTGTAGACTTTGAGCTCAATTCAGAGGCTGCAATGAACACAGCCAAACAAGCAACCAGTAGTCCTCTCAAAGTGATATTTGGAGCAAGCAATAATCTCAATAACATTGGTCCAAATGCTCGAGCCCACTAAATGTTACTCGCTTCAAGTACAAATGAAATGCAGCAGAGACGTGAGAGGCACATCGTATGATCTCAAAACATACGTCTTTTCCCCTCGTTTTCTCTATACTATCACATGCGCAACTACGACTAACCCGAATTTACCAACATCTCGGGGCCCCAAACTATCGTCCCAAAAAGCCTAGGAACTCTTCCCGATCTTCCCCGTTATATCTTCTTCCATGTCCATATCGTCCGATCACGAAAATCATGACTGTAATGAGATCAACCTGCACACGAGACCCAGGGCCAGGGATAATACAATTTGACATATAACGCTCTGACGGACCCATATTCCCCGCGTGGAGTACAGATAATGTACGACGACGGAACCACGGCTTCTGGAACGTGATTTTTCCTTCTGTTGTCCCGCATACATATTCCGTGTATTGAGACTATGGATTTACGTACCGGATGGGAATGGGGAAATGAATTCATTCATGCCACGTTCTCATCACATGTTGAAGTTAATGTAAATGTTGTGTTTTCGCGACTTTGAATACTAGAATGCTTTGGCTAGGTCGTTTCATGTGTACCCCATAGCAATAGCATGAGACGATGCGACTACAGGAGGAAATACGGAGAGTATGACTGGAGATGTGGTACCAATTACGTGCTTGCCCAACAAGATCGGAACACATGTCCATCAAATGTACCAGGGGAACAAATCGGGCGCGGAGAAATCGATTGTTGGTATCATGGTCGGTATTTCTCGGTATTGGCATTGCTTTTGATTACTGGCTGGTTGTGCCTTGGGGCTCGAGGATCTTTCTGGAATATACCATAATACGATAATATCCCATGTGTTGGTGTCCACGGGTATGCATGAAGGGTGATTAGGGGTGGGGCTGCTAAAGGTACAGCAAGGACCTACAGGAAGGACGAAAGACGCCTGATGTGTGACGACCCAATCCCATAGCCAACCATCAAAATCAAAGGTTTGGTATACATATTCCCATGATCAACGAGTGTTTCAATTTCCCAAACAGCAATAAGGAAGGTTGGTCACATCCACAGCGTTTCATCAGCACATTACGTAACAAGGCCTGCATTCGTTCGCTTTCGCTCGCTATTCTCTTGCTAAGATTCATTCTCTAGTCGCACTGAGTATCACAGGTATTCTTTACTCAATCATTCCTCCGGAATATAATTGTCATGCCAATGATAGCACACTCGTTATATCATTACACCGATACACGTGTCAAGAACATTTCACAACGCGCAGCTGAAATGTCCTCCTCGCATATTCTGCTTGGACGGTTGGCGTTAGCCCCTGAATACTATTCTCACATAATCCAAGTCCAAGTGGTTAAGGCCGAGAAGAGAATAGAAAGTTCACTAAGATGCAAGGACATCAAGCCCAATTCTACCTTTCAGGGCAAGATTTGCCACCTACAGAGGCACGGTTAGTTCCGGTTGTGCAACCAATGGAATACTTATAAAGTTACATGGCACTCCTGCATTATGACATACATATATACACACTCTGATATCTACTGAAAGTTCTTGATACTGTAATGTGATATCATACTCAGAGCAGATCTCAGCATACTTATCAATTCTTATATCTCGAATCAATTCGTTGCCAAATTGAAGCAACGTTGCTTGTTATCAAATACTTTTTCACCTAGGAGCGTCTCTGTCATATTTGTTTACTTATTCGGGTTGGATTCGAATACTTAAGTAGATAAATGAACAAGGCTTGATCAAAATTATCAAACACACCATGGCGAAATCATCAATCTCGTCCTCATATTCATCTACATCATCATCTTCCTCCTCAGCATATAATGTAGGACCCTCAAAACCATCCTCCTCAACCTCATCCTCAAGGTAAGTCCTACAAATCTTTTCCATCTCACTCCCATCAAGATCAGCATTAACACCCCTCCCAGCGCTCACCCTCCATCCTACAAAATTCTCTCCACCCTAATCTTTCCAAACACCCCTCAAAAACATCACACCGTTGGTCGAGGCACTCCCGGCAACGGCATCACTCCTTGGATGAACAGTGGTGATCTAAGAATTCTAGGGGGACGAAGAGGAAAATTGGATCAAGTGGATCCGGAGAGTTTGACAAGTTTTTGTTGATCTTTCGCTATGTAAATTATTCTTCGCGATGCGGAAGACGATTGTGGAGATGAGTAGTTGGATCATGGGAAAGAGGGGAAAGTTACGAATGTATGAATTCTACGAGCAACGGTCTGGAGTTATGCAAATGGGAAGGAAAGGAATGGAAAGGAATGAAAAGGAAAGGGAAAACTCGGGGAAAAGAGATGGAAAAGTGTTTATTCGGTGCATCGCATTATTCGGAAGGGCGTTCTATAATCTAGCTTGAAGCTTCGCATTATCAGGTTTAGGTTTTCGGGTTACTTTTGGAGAGGGTATGCTCCATGCATATTTTCACGTTTGGATTTGGATCGAAGTTTTGGATGGATGGACGGATGGATTAGCGAGGAATTTGGAAACTGGGAGGTATTTCTATGCTTCAAATAATTAATGATGAAGAAAGATACCCTGGACTATTCAAACTCATTGCATAATTTTATATATATGAGAGAAGTCTTCCGTTTATTTATTTATCCGTTTCTTTGCAAACCCAACCACAACATTAAAATCATCCGAAACACACAGTAGGTAGGTTACTTGTCGAAATCTCACATTAACTAACATTAACCTTACCGATCTGATCTGCACATTACACCATACAGTACGCAGTAATCTTACAGTAGTGAGAAATAATATCAGATCCGACAAGCAACAAAACCCCCCACCCACGGAGCCCACCTCTATCTAGATTCTAAATTGCCACGAGATCTAGAGTATAGATGTGCAACAAAATCTCTGAAGTGTGAACTAAGGTTATGATTCAGAAAAATGTCCAGGTCAGGTGGGGCTCGGTCATGGCGTGGAGGGAGATGTGCAACAAAAGTGTGTTTATGTTTATGCAAATGCTAATGCTAATGCTAATGATCAATCGGGTTAAGGTTATTACTATGTATGTATGCTCCGCTCGCCACGACTTAAGGGGTAGCTCATCTTCACCGCTACAGTAGAGTAAATATCGATAAATGTAGTGGCAAGTTAAGAATAACTAACTCCGTTGATAGTTAGATACCTAACCTAGATCTAGATTCCGATTCCGATTCCGATTTGGTACTTGATTCAATGCAATGTAATACAAGCAATATAATGGTAAGCTAGATAATCTTATGCAATAAACCCTAGATATAGTAAGTCAGTACGTACTATTACAATACTAAGTAGTAGGTATGTGTTTATTACATTCCACCGTGGCAAGGTCTCAGATGTCATTTGATACGTAATGATATTTAAAATCTTGAAGGTATTATGTTGGTCTGGTTTGATTTGGGATTGATATGCTAGGTTGAGATGTCAGATTCCATGACAACCCCGTGGCGACAAAGATGTGCAACAATTGGGTTGAGTAACTTGGGGATAAGGGATAGGAAGGTTTGAAAGTTGGAATGGGGGGTATTCTGCCATGGGGGTTTGTAGATGTGCAGCAATGGGGTGGATGTGAGATACGGTGAGAGCTCAAGAGCTAGAACAAACGCCATTTCCCGCCACGGAGGATTGTAGATATGCAACAAAGGGGTGGGTATTAGATACAGCAAAGTTCGATATCTAAAAATAGGGTTTCATCCCGCCACGGGGGTTGTAGATGTGCAACGAAAGAGCCAAATACAAGGGATGGTAAAGTTTTAGGGTTAGAATGGGGGTTTATCCCACCACGGAGGTTTTGGATGTGCAACAAAAGAGCCATACCCCATATACAGTAAAAGCTAGTAGTCAAAATAGCTTTGGATCCCGCCACGGGGGATTGCAGATGTGCAACAAATACCCGTGATACATGAGGTCCAAGTAGTCTCTACCTAGTCCCACAATATTAGTATGAGATGCAGTGAGTGACGTAGCAAGATGTGCAACGAGAACCCGGATATGATTTGTAAAATTATCCTTCCCTATTTCCTCACATCTACATTTAGAATCAAGTAGTTTCGGGTTCTACTGTGGTTTTGTTGAGATGTATGATAAAAGCTCGCTATAAGATTAATTCACTCTACCATAATAGGTTATTAGATATACAATAGAACTTCGAGGTCTGATCTTGATCTTGATCTATCGGCCCAGGCAGTATTCAGTCTCATCATGGTGCAATGAAAATATGAGATAGAACCCCAATATGATATCTCATCGTATGGTAATTTCAGACGCGCAAGTAATCGCCAGATATTCAAGAACTGGTCTCGATTGATGTCCGCCATGGTGCAGATTTAGATATGCAGCAACAGCTGAATATCTCTCGTATTCCTAATCCTTCACATGAATATCAATTCATCCCAATTCCACCATAGAACACAATAAGATCTGCAACCAAATCTTGTCAAGCTAAAACCCTATATTCCACCATGGGGCATTGCAGATTCCTATCATATCATACAGAATCGAAATCTCAATTTAGATCAAAAGTTCCCAGTTCCCAGTTCCATACAGCAACATTGATATATATCAACCCCCTCCCTAGAAAAAATCTCACATTCCGTCGCGGACAATTCTCAGATATGCGTCTATCCAAGATCTACTGGGTTTGTATTGAAGGACTTCCAAGGCCCGTCATGGAATGAAATGGAATAATAGTCCACCATGGAACAGAATCAGAAATGCAACAAGAATCTTAAAACGGTTAAAATCCATCCCACCATGGAATCGAACCGAATCAGATATGCAACAAAACTCCAGCAATATCCCACACCCATCACAGAGCGTTACAGATACGCCGTAATCCACGAACCTAAATAATAGACTTTCCACGATAGAGAATTAGATATCAAGATAAGTACCTAACTCTTATCATCGTACAACATCCAGATGTAATCTTACAACAAACGAGCATCTATATTCAAAGAACACACGATAAAAGTTCAAAAATCCATATTTACCGCCATGGAAGGATAATAGATATGCAACAAAACCCACTAACTCTTCTAGATATTATACTGTGAGAAAAAAAAGAGAATGAGAATGAAATTGAGATTGAGAGATACAAAAACCCTTCTTTCCACCGTGTAAAAGTACTAGATGTGCAACAAAACTAAGCTAACTCTTCTAGATATTTCATTATAAAAAAGAAAAAAAATAATAAGGAGAAGGAGATTTACAAGAACCTCTCATTCCCGCCACGGGAAATTCTTAGATGTGCAACCAAACTCCAAAATGATCAATATCCCATCAAGTAATGGAATAAAATAAGAACCAAACATACAACAAAAGTCGAAACCTAACCGACTTCCCACCACGGCGGATTGTACTTGATCTTGGTTCTGATCTAAATCACTACGGTAGAGAACTAGTTGACTTTGACCTCCGTCGCGATAGAGATATCTAGATATAAACTTGCTCTAACTCGATACGGGATTAGAGGGAATCTGCCAGGAATCCCCCCGAGGAATGACTTATATTTCACGGTGACAGAATCAGATATGCAACAAAAGATCCAGAAACAACTTTTATTCCACGGTGACAGAATCAGATATGCAACAAAAGGTCAAGAAACAATCCAATCTAATTCCACGATATAAGATCCGAAACATGCACATGCAATACACCATGATCTAGAAATTCCACCACGGAACCTCGTGGACCAACGAACCACCACGAAAAAGAGTGAGATGCAAAACCAAAGAAAACGCCAAATGTAGCTAAAACCCCGTCGCGGGAAATTGTCAGATATGCAACAAATCCAAACCAAAGTACCTACTGACTACTAATCTTCCACCGCGGCAGAACTGCAGATATGCAACAAACGAAAAGGTGTAGCTCTAGGTTCCGATATGTGATTGGATACAATATTTTAGATGTACTTAGCGAGTCGCGTGCCGCATCTTGCGACACTCCTTGCTCGTCTCCTTTTCTACGTTCGTCTCCTTTTCTACGTTCGTCTCTCTCAAATGTATCGTCCGTAACCCCTATTTCAAAACTCCCCGTGCACGATCAATTCCCCCATCTACCTAATCATCCCCTTCTTCCACTACCCCACCACCCTCTCCATAAACAAACACCTAGCCGTCCACACCCTCCCCTCCTCATCCTTTTCAGGCCACATCCCATCCTTCATCCCCACAATCCTATACCCCCTCCTAGCATACCAATCCTCTCTCTCCACCGGCTGCTTCTTGATTTTCAGCCCCGCATTCCGTTCTTCCTTTCCCGGATATTCCTTCGCTATAACTTCTAATATTAATTTTTTCGCAGAGATCGGGGGTGAAGAGGCAAGTGTTTCAATTGTATCCATAGTTGCGCGACCTAGACCTAAGCTACGCATAGCGCCGGAAATGTAGAGGCCTGATATTTTGTATGTGGAGGAGGGAGAGGAAGAGATGGGGGAAGATGGTTGGACTTCGAGGGCTATGTGGCCGACGGGAAGGAAGGATTGGGGTGGTGAAGGAGGGGTACGAGGTAGTGCATTGAATGTTGTTGCGGAATCGATTAATGGTTCTGATTCCAAGGGGAAATGCGTTATGTGAAGTTTATGAAGATCATCGCGAGAGATGGTGGTGATTGGTAGAACCTGACGCTCTTGTTAGATTTGTCGGATAATTGGAATAGAGATACGTACGATCCATTGAAGAGTAATAGCACCCTGCCTCTGTTTTTCGCGCCATGATTCTACGTATTCTGAGTTCCAGGTACAGGCTACTCGTTGATTGAACAATCTCTCGACATGGGATGGAGAGTCTGGATCCCAAGGAATGAGATCGACTTTTGCGAATTTTGGGGATGGAGAGGGGGAAGGGGTGATAGGTGATATAGCCATTTTTGTGTACTATAAGTGGACAATGAAAAAGAAGAGGAGATTAAGAAAAGCAACTGGAGAAGAATTCGATACTTAAATATACTGTCGTACTCTATCTTACCTCAACTACCTACATATAGACATTATGAAATGACTCATAGATTGCTTATGATTGCTATCTAATGATAATGAGGATTTGACTTCCCCGTATGATAATTCGCATATCTCCTATGATATGCGAGATCGAAATGTGACATTGAGAGAATGGGGGAAGTCTTTCTTAGCTTTAATGAACGAGATCTAACCGTAAGTGTATCGACGAGTCGATATCCAATGGCATATTAGTCTTTACTGTTAAATCCGTTAATCCGCCGAGGGTAGTCAATCAATACCTACCTATAGTAGGAGAATTGTGGTCGATTCATTAGAAATTGAAAGAAGTCAATGAACGTCGGATGCTAGTTGTCGTCAAAATCGTAGGATGTGCATGAAGTGAAGTTCATATTCAAAATCGCTGGTTTTAAGTGGGTCAGATTAGAGATCAATGATTGGCTGAGCTTCCATCATTTTTGAACAAACTATTTTTTGAAAACATCCGAAAAAGATACGGACAAGAGGCTGGATTTTTGATGTGTAGGTGGGACGAATAGATATCTTGAGTCAGTTTGAGTCAACTAAGCAATTAAGTTTATATTGATATCAAAAATACTTGTGAAATAATGTAATATCTGCCAGAGTATTGTGTACACACAAACGTGCGACTCAAAGGCTTATATCTTCAATTGAAGTGATATGAAGTCTATTTAGATGGGTCTTTTCCTAAGGCCAGTGTCATCTGGGTGCAATTTTGCCCCTAATCCCAGTTCCGAAACGCCATCGCTATGTAAATGTAAAAGCAAATCTTCAATCATAGTTCCATAAACAAAAAATATTCCCCGATGAAGAATGAGAAGAGTATTCCCTCCACATCGTCTATAACCAGACCAAGTTCCCCAATGCGACCACTCCAATCATAGCCCACATCCATTCCCAATTCTTCCGCATCCCCAAACCCAAAGAACTAGCACCACTAGTAGAATTACTACTGGCAGTTAAAACACTCGTACTAACGTTCGTCCTTCCGGTAGTTTCCCCATAAATTCCATTCATGATATCCGCGGTATCGATACTAGGTCCTACGTTGAAGAAATCTACCAAGATAAAAGTTGGTTTGATGCCCCATTCACTCTTACACTGCTCTGCTTGAGTTCTCAATGCACCTGTTGTGTTGGTAGCAGGGGAGTTTGTCGTAGTGATGTTTTTTACATCTGGGATTGTGATACCAAATGATTGAGCCATGTCGGCGAAATGGTTAATGAGACCCATGTAATTAGATGAAACGGCGGCGGAGGCAGAATCGACACTGCTAGGACGTTGGAGTGTACAATTGAAGGCGTCTAGAGAAAGAACTCCAAAGTAGGTTTCGAATACGTATGTAAATTCTGGAAGAAGATATGGATATTTGGAATCATAGTCAATGCTTGCGATGAAAGTAATTAATCTTGTATTGGCAGTGATGAGAGTTTGAAGTGTTGGCCAAGTAGCGATCGGTGCGGTGGTAGAAGTAGGAGTGTAGCCGTAAGTATCGATACCGGAAGATGAGAAGACTGATCCGAAAGTAGCAGCTGATTTGTCGTCGGAATTAACAAGGATCAAAGTGACAACTTCGTTAGTATTCGCATCCATCCATGTTTTAATTTCCTTAAGAAAAGTCTCGAGACTACCACCATCGAGGAGTAAACAAGATGTGTGACATAGTTCCAAAGTTCCATTCGAGTCATGAACTTGTGCTTGAAGTAATCTAATACCGGCGGATAGAGCAACAGTAGCGTTATAGAACTGGTTCCCGGATGTTGAATACCCTGTCGTTGAGTCTCGAAGGAATGCAACGTCATGAGCACCCATATGTGTTATGTTGTTATAGTTTCGACTACATAGTTCCGGTGAATTATTACAGGCAGTTGTGCTTGTTGATACTGCTGCTTTAGCGACTGATACGAAACTGGTTGATGATGATGTAGCTGATGTTGCAACTGCAATAGCTATCGACGACGATGATAATTCTTGACTTCCATATCCTCCATAACTTCCACCACCATTTTGAGGCATGGCCTGTGAAGAGCTAACCAAAGAAAGAATTGCCGTTACGGCAAATACAAATGACCGCATATTTAATGCGTAAAGGATTTCCAAGAGAATGAGATAAGAATCCTTCGTTCGAAAGAGTGGTAAGGCTATAACATGTGTTGCTTTTGAAGAAATATGACAAAGAAAACACCACCAGTGCTCAACAACAGATATATGAGAAAATTCACACACCCAAAAATAAAAATCTTGGAAAGAAAGAAAGAGGCTTCAAAAGTATGGAGAACTTTTGATCAAAGTAATAGAGTCCCCATATATGAAAAACTACGGAATACGTTACGACTCGCCTCATTCTACTGCGCCTCGTTGCCTCTTTCAATTAATTCTCTCGAGATTGTCGTAAGCCAGCAACATTACGAGTCTTGGAAAAGTGGGCCTCATCCGTATTTGAGTAAGAATTAGAAAGGAGAACTTCCAATCAATACTTCTAGATCTGCATGAAACGATGGAAAGGTCCCGGTTTGAGGATGGTATAGGATGTCACACCGGGTGATGCTTGTTCAAGTCAAATCGTTTATACTGACTGACGTTTGAGGTTGGTGAGAGAGCGAGGATCGTTGCATGTCAAAGTCAAAAAATTGGCTGGAAAGGTACGAAAATCTTCCTAGAGCCGTATCTATTTTTAACCTTCATTGAGGCGCGTTGAGAAATCAATGCATTCCAAGACCCCAGAAAGTGCAATCGGTCAAGTCGGTGTCGCGGAAGATGACGAGGACAATCGATTCGATTGACCAATTGACCAATGTAAGCTTTTTCTATCACGCAACAATGGAGAATGATCTTCAAGTGTTGAACTTGCAGCTGGTCCTTGAGCTGGAACCTGCCACCAGCCCACCTGCCAAAGTAATCAAGTGGATGAAGTTGTTGAAGAAGGCTGAAGATGTTGATCTTATGCCAGCCGCCATATGCAAGTCCTAGCCACCGGGAATACCCCTTTCCTGAAGAGGCCTAGCTTAGTGAACAGTAGGTAAGCAGACAGGAAACCATCACCATGAATAAACATCAATGTACCAGTATCAAATATTAGTACTCTTTGGTCGTATATCAGACCTTCCAAATGAAAGCTCTACGAGTCTGCCTTGTCTATTCGTCTTGTAGCCATATCGAAATCTGAAAAGAGATTGAGAATTTCCCATCGTCTCCACTCTATTCCGAGTCTACCGGATACAAACCAAAGATCAGACCCGTCAATCCACAGTTCATCAAACAACATCCGCTCCATGCTTCTCCTCCAGAATCTCTCGAGGTTCGACGGTTTGGTTCTTTCGCGGGGTGAGGAGGTATTGTGTCAAATATGTACGATGTAACGAATGATCCTGTTGGATGGTTGATTACCTGAAAGCGATATTGAATCTGGATGATTCGAAAATGATTCAATAGTAATAAGTCAAATGGAGATGTAGATGAAACTCGTATAAGGTTATGCTTACGCAGGCGAGCCTGGCACAATTTTAGTGCAGAGTAGGGACGGCCATGTGTAAGGTTGGGATCGCCCAAGTGAATTAACTTTACCCCCTATCACGTGTGAATTTAAAGGACCTTATTTCGATCACCCAGACTATGAGATGTGAACGACAACGTATCTCTTATCGTTTCGCTCCACGTTCAGAACATGGTATCCAAGTTTGGGGATGCAAGGACGGTATAAAAGTGTTGCTTTCACATCCTTCGAGCTCGTCGAGCATATCATGTCTCTGTATTGAATTGAAACGGACCAATTTCGATTCGTCATATTACTCATCTTCCCTCTTACATATCGAAGTATAAAAGCATATCAAGGTGTCTAGATTTAGACTGTCATATTATTGGAAACATTGTGTTTTGATGTAATGACACTGTTGAGATACATAGAGGCATCTATAGTATTCATGTTTACTGAAGCATTAGTATCTCTCGATTCGCAAAGTTGACTGTCTGTGGATGAGGCGTCGTATACAAGTCTCGATGAGATCCTACACGCGAATTCAAGCAACCAGTATGGTGATGACAATGCTTTCTCGTGTTTCTCACCTACAATTGGTATGTGTTGTTGGGTTCTCGCAATAACCATATTACATTTGGCATATATTTGAGTGCTAACTAGGTCTTTCTGGATCTGTCGACCGTTTTCAAGGTCTGAGGTTGGCTTGAACATTGATAGGGAGGATGGAGGTGACGGGCTAGACAGGGGGGAGAAGGAGGGTAAATGGAGAGGGAGAAATTGAGAGGAGAGAGCCGAGCAATGGAGAATGTGAGGTAGAAAAAAGGCGCAGAGATAAAAAGAGGGAGAAAAGGGACGGAAATTTACTGTGAAGATGATGTAACAAGACAATATATGCCACTATACTATTCAGTATATCACTCCCCCAGAGCAAATGATCAGCCATTATGTCTTAGACCAAAAGACCCTTCAAAATCTTAAACATTACAACCTGCAAAGAAGTATTCCAACCTACACTCTAAACCTATCATCGAGTGAAAGGTCTGCGATACCAATTCTCATTATCCCGTAAATATCCATATACATACAACACCCCAAACAAAAACCCAACCATCCCATCTGCTAATCCTTCAAGAATCATGCTTGCTTAACAGAATAGCGGGGTCATCGCTTTAGAATAAAAAATAAATATCATAGGTTACCCCGCATCACGTGTCAAATGCTCATTTCTGACTTTGACTTCGAATTAGAATTCCCAACATCGATATCGATATCGTTCTTCAACACTCTGTCCTATATCATCTCCCCCCCCAAAAAAACAGGAGGCTCACACCCATTCCGAAACCCCTTGTATTCCCAATATCTCAAATTCCACATCCCAAACCGTCTTCCCTTCCTTCCCATCACACAAAAAAACAACACAGCACACAAAATCCAAACCCAACAATGACCTCTTCATCCCCCGAAAGCAGCGCGATCGATTATAAGAATCTTCCTACGCCACCCAGAGCCGTTGCGGATTTTTGTTTGATTCCCGTATTTCCCCTTTTCATCTTTCATCCTCTTTTCTTATTCACACACACTCTCTCGATTTGTCCAGCGGTCCAGTCAAGCTAACAAACCATAGATCGGTACCCCCACAGCATCGGTATCGAAAGAAGTAGCTGCTGTGCAGCGATTGATGAAGGCTAGTGGGTTGAGCTATAGTATGCATTCTGCTGGGACTACTGTTGGTGAGTGTTTTTTCCCTTTGTGTTCTTGCATCTTGAAACATTTTCGGAAGTTTGGGAGGCTAGAGTTTCGAGGTGATAGTTAACGAGACGGAATCATCGCGATTAGAAGGGATGTATTGAAGAGTTCATGAAATAAAGATTTATGGTTATGGAAATCTTGCAAGCGCAAGTACAAATGCAAGTGCAAGTTCGAGTGATATCATACTGCATACATAAATAGATACAGATCATAGCATAAGAACCTCCACTCCACCTCACAACAACCGCATAAAATACTAACCACCCACCCCACTACATAGAAGGTACCTGGGACGAAGTAATGCGTCTAATCGGTCAAGCGCACACGCTCGTGCATCAGAACGGGGTTTTGCGCGTTCAGACGGATATCAGAGCTGGGACGCGAACGGATAAGGAACAGCATTTTGCGGAGAAGGTTGCGAAGGTTGAGAGTTTGCTTGCGGGGGAGGAAGATGGTGGGAAATAGAGAAGGGGGGAGAGATTGATGAATGGGTGATGAGGGAAGGGATTTGGAAGTTGGGGATATCTGAAGAGTTTTGAGGGGATGAAGATAAGTATATGCGAATCCCTAGCAATGAATGAAGAACTGAAGAATGCTTGGTTTGTGGATGCTATCGGTTAGGGTAATAAGGGGAAGTTAATAATGTGAAGAATATCCATCACGTGTGTGAGAATGATAAACGGTTAAAACGCACGGTTTAATCAAGGGTACATATAGGGCTGTGCTTGCTACGTCTCCAAACTCAAAGAATGATATCTATATCACAAAAAGTATCTCCTGATACTTTCTGCTCGATTTCTAGGATTCATTGTCCCTGTCTTTATATTCAGTACCCAAGTAGCGTTCTTTTGCACTTTGTATTTGCTAGGTAGCATAACCGGGATGACAGTAATTATTCGAATTGTGTCAAGCATTCAATATACATTGTTCAAGTGTGCTGAGATATTCAATGAACATACTCCATGGTTGATCTTGACATTCGGGGTATTGCACCGATAATGAACTGTCTTCATTTAGCCTTCGCCGCACCAATCGTAGTTTGAATAGAATTAATTTTCGTCTCCAAAAACTCCGCTTTCTTCGCCTCATTCAACCAAGGTATTTCAATTTCACCCACACAATTTCGGATCGAATCAATCAAAGCCTTAGAATTTGGTGCATCGTCTAGGATTCCAAGGAATGAAACTCTTGGTATACCGAGTGCTGCTGCTATTCGAGTTTCGGATCCTTTAGGCAGTTGTACTAATCTTGTTGGTGGTTTGGTAGGGTATGCTTTTGAGGCTGTATTAAGGAGTTGGGGAAGATGGGAGTTCAATATTGGGTGCTGATTGGAGCGGGCGACGAATATGGCTGAGAAATGAGTTTGGGGTGGACTTTGAGGACTGGAGTTGAGCTCTTTAGATTGGGGTCGAGTTTCTGGTTCTGTGGGGAGAGTTTCTTTGGTCTCGAAGCCTCTTTTGGATGATTCTTCTAGCATCCGATGGATACTATTAAGGCCTGTGATGATATAGGATGATATTTCAGGCGACGAAGGAATCTCTGAGGACCCCTCATTTTCTGACTTCAGGTCTCTTCTCTTACGCTTCTTGCTCCGCTTTCCTTTAGATGGAGTAATGTGATTGGAACGATATGCTCCAATGGGGGACAGTAAACTACAGAAATGATTAGCATTGCAATCACTATTAGCTTGGCATTGCTTTCGAATGATCCTTGGATAAATACTGCAGAACTACCTGCATTCACGTCCTGACTGGACAATTTCAAGGAGAAGAGTGACGTCAAGGAGAATCTCCTTGTAACATAATCAGTGACTGAAAGATAATTTCAGGTTCTTGTGCATTAGAGAATGTAC